TTCCACTGAGACCGTGCAGCTCTTCCCATTGAAAAATGACATCAGTTTCTCTGGCCCTTGAACTGACCCTGTACCTTGCCTTGGCCAATAGACTGCAGTGGAAGAGATGCTGCTATAGACTGAAGGTTTGTGCCCCCCCCCCAAATGCACATGTTGAAACCTAATCCCAACGCAATGGTATTAAGAGGTGGAAACTTGGGAGGTAATTAGGTCATGAGGGTGGGGCCCCATTATGGGATTAGTGCCCTTAGAGACCCTAGAGAGCTCCTTTGCCCCTTCAGCCAGGCAAGGACACAGCTAGAGAAGACTAAGTGGCCATAGTTTGCAGAACCATGTTTTAAAACCATTTCTCCCTTTATCCTTTCATCTGGGCTCCTTCATGCCAAGCTCTGTCCTGAGAATGGGCGTGAGACCCACAGTACATGCACTGCCCGAGTTCCAGGGACACTTCACATCCCACTTTCTGGGAGAGCTTGCTTAGCTAAATAAAAGTGAGGTGTGTGGGTGGCTTTATGGGGTTATGAGCAATTAGAATAAGGTGGGTCACCCTGGCTGGTTTGGCTCAGCAGTTGGAGCGTCGGCCTGCGGTCCAGAGAGACCAGGGTTCAGTTCCCGATAAGGGCATGTACCTCGGTTGCAGTTTGTCCCCAGCTCCAGTTGGGGTCATGCGGGAGGCAGCCACACGATGTGTCCCTTTCAAATCGATGTTTCTCTCTCTCTCTCTCTCTCTCTCTCCCTCCCACTCTACCTGAACAAAAATGGAAAAATGTCCTCGGGTGAGGATAAAAAAATAAATAAATAAGGTGGGTCAAGCATTCCCTTTCATATTTTTTTTCTTTATGATATATTAGAGACAGAGGAAGGGAGAGGGAGAGAGAGATAGAAACATCGATGAAAGAGAACATCGATTGGCTGCCTCTTGCATGCCCCACACTGGGGATTGGGCCCACAACCTGGGCATGTGCCCTGACCGGGAATCAAACTGGCAACCTCTTAGCGCATGGGTCAATGCTTAACCACTGAGCCACACCAGCCAGGCCAAGCGTTCCCTTTTTAGGTCACAACCACCACGTTGATCACTGTCATCAAACATTCACCACACTTGACAGCTATGCAAAGCCCCAGATTGCGGAGAGCCAGCTTCAGCCAAACCTGGCAGGTGACGTGATGCCTCCTGCATTCTGTTCCCATTTCCACCACACTGGTTGAGACCCCTGCATGCCTCAGGTCTCCTAGCAGTCCTTGCCCTCAGCTTCTCCTCTCAACAGCCGTCATTGCCTGCATTGGTCAGCAGAGGTCTCCATAACGAAGCATCACAGCCTGGGGAGCTTACCACATTTCTCCCAGTTCTGGAGGCTGGAAGTCCAAGATCCAGGTTCAGGCAGGGTTGGTTTCTCTTGAGGCCTTTCTCCTTGGCTTGCAGATGGGTGCCTTCTCCGTGTCCTCACGTGGTCTTCACTCTGTGTTCACATCTTTGGTGTCTCTTATAATAAAAGACACCCTTCCTATGGGATTAGGGCCCCACACTTAATGAGCTCATTTTACTATACCTCTTTGAATGTCCTATCTTCAAATACATTGAGAATTAGAGCTTCAGTAAATTGGGGGGGGGGAATTAGGGGGCACAATTTAGTCCATAGCACCACCTTAGCATCCTAAAACAGGCCAGATCTTGGCAAGGTCCCCTTGGTGACTCCCCGTTGCTTACTAGATCAAACCTGGATTCTGCCCAGCATCTGAGGCCGTGCCCGCCCACCAGCCTTTGTTACCCCCCACATCCTCTGTCCCTCAGCACACGGGGCAGTTTCCCTGTCAGCCACGTGCCTCCCTCATTCCATGTCTGTGCCAGACCCTGCTCTTGGCCCAGTTTGAGCCCCTACCCTCTGGAATCCCAGTCACCCTCCCAGCCTCAGGGACAGGGGTCCTCCTGTTACCTGCTGGGCTGTTGGCAAGTCCATCCTTCTTCCTCCAGGTGGCACCTCTCAGTCTCCCCTCCCCCCTCCCAGCATTTCAACCGTTTGCACTGGAGAGGTGCTCCGCTACCACAGAGGGGAGAGGGGTGACCTGTGGTGAGTTCAAGGGCGATTCACTCTCCCACACTGAACTGAAAGCTGATGTTGACCTTGACCCTGTCTGTACTCCTCACAGCCGACCAGCCTGCTCACAGCTGTGACGTTTCATAATAACACCAATGGGGCCATTACTGCAGGAAAAGTTTTGGCAGAGCTGAGCAGTCAGATGTGTGGCTTCACTGAGGACCAGACCGCAGAGTTCAAGGAGGTCTGCCAGCTGTTTGACCAAATAGGAGAGATCCCGTACAGCCAGCGTGGGGCTGTGGTGAGAATCCTGGGCCATAACCCTACCAGTGCTGAGGTGCTCAAAGTCCTGGGGAACCCCAAGACTGATGAGTTGAATGTGAAGGTGTTAGACTCTGAGCACTTCCTGCCCATGCTGCAGACTGGCCAAGAACAAGGACCAGGGCACCTATGACGAGTACATCGAAGGCCTTAGGGTGTTTGACAAGAAAGGGGATGCCACTGTCATGGGTGCTGAGATCGGGCATGTTATTGTCGCTGTGGGTGAGACATGACAGGAAGGAGCAGAGATGATGGTGGCAGGACACGAGGACAGCAATCGTATGAGCTCCGCGGAGCTCGTCTGCACGGTGCTGACCAGCGGAAGGCATTCCCGGTGTGCCCGTTCCCCGCGAGGCTGTGCTTGCAGCCCCAAGGCTTCCTAGCTTCTCTTGTCACGGCACTTTCCCCAGCTTGCATCTCTTGGGTAATGTTTGCCATCAGCATTCACCAAATGCACTTGCTCTCTGTGCCCTAAAACAAAAACATAAACAAAAGAAAATACCTGTGGGCGTCACCATGCAGGCACGCAGAACACCCGAGATCTCCCACTGTCAAGGCACAATGGCTTGGATGCCCCGCCATCTGCACATACCCTCTTCTTTCATCCCGCTCTCTAACCTAGCTCAGTGTTCCTCAAACTTCAGTGTGCGCAACACCAGCATTTAGGGTCATAGACAACAAAAACATGTCCCTTTATATTTACACTCACAAACGTGCTGTCTGAGGCAGCTCGGTGTCCTCATGATCCTTCCGGATTAGGATCTAGACCAGGCATAAACCAGTCTGTGATGCTGCCCAGCTGGTGCCCTGGGACTGAGCTTGTCCTAGGACAGCAGTTCTCAACCGGACAGTGGGGACATCTGTGGTTGTTATGACTGGGGGTGCTCCTGGCGTCGAGTGGTTAGAGGCCACTGACGCTGCTCAACGCCCCGCAGCGCCCAGGATGGTCCCACCCCAGAGAGTGATCTGTCTCAATGTCAGCAGTGTGTAGATCAAGAAACCTTGCTCTAGGCTAAATAGGACATATATATTTCTCCAGCATGGAACAAGGTCAACGACCATCCGCCTCCATTGGTTTCTTTAGGCTGGGCCCCCTCCAGGTGAAGACAATGCTTCTGACCTGAATCGGGGTAACGGGGGAGCAAGGTGGAGAAAGCCCCGCAGATTGTCTCTACTTCCTCAGCACCCTGAAGGACGAGACACCCTTCCACCCCAAGAGACACTTGCCTCTGTGCCCTTAGTTGGCACCGCTTCGTGGACCGGGGCTTCAGGCATAGGAGGGGATACCCTGCTGGAGGTGGAGGCCGTCAGCCCGCAAGGACGCCTGGGTGGAAGGGAGCCTCCACAGACCTGCTGCTCAGCGTCACTGTGCCGTTCTGGTGGCTGATGCAGCAGTGGCAGCAGGTCTCAGTCCAGAGAGCTCCATGTCTGCACTCACGCTTGGACTGAATATCTACCCTGTTGAGCTTTCCTGGTGGCTGCAATGGCCTTTCATGTCCTCCTAATGTCCATCCCTTCCCTTGCCAGTTTGGGTTGGGGACACGCCTCTCCCATGTGACTCAGGAGAGGGTGGCCCCAGCTCCAGGGTAAACCCTGATGGCTCTAAGACAGCCTGCCTGGCCCCATCCCTCTGGGCTGTGCCATCTGGAGCTCGTGGGGTGGGTCCCAGGCTGGACAAGAAGCCATGAGGGGAAGCCGGCACAAGAAGGCACATGTAGTTCTTACACAGAACATACCTTGCAGCGTTGCTTTAACAGCAGAAAATTGGAAATAGCGTGTAGTGGTTGAAATACAAGTCAACAAATTCTTTGATGCTCCTCCCTTCAAAAGGTGGGCCAAATCTTCTCCCCTGAAGTGTGGGTTAGATGCTGTGATTCACTTCTAACTAATGGAATGTGGAGGAAGTTTTGCCGTGTGATGTCTGAGGCTGGGTCACAACGAGGACAGCTTCTGCCTGGTGCACTCTTGCTCTGGGGGGAACATCTTGGAAGTGTGGCCACCACCCCAGTCGAGACTTTGGATAATAGAGCCCAGCTGACAACTTGACTGAGCCAGAACCCAGCGAGGTCACGCCGAACCCCTAACTTATAGAAACTGTGAAGATGATAAGTGGTTATTATTGTTTGAAGTCATTTCACTGGGGATAATTTAAAACTCAGCAATAGATAACTAACATATAAATAGCTACCACTAGGAAACGAGGTGAATGAATTGTGATACATTCAAGCAAATAAAAAATTAGCCTTTAAGTTTAGGAGTCTCAGGGCAAAAGTACAAATGGAAGTCTATATACTATATGTCTAAATATTTGAACATTATAAATCAATCTGGCATAAAGTTAAATACAGTACAGTAAGCTCCTCGTGTCCAAGGGGGGTATATTTCAGAATTTTCTTATATGATCCTTATTGGTATTGGGCTAATAAGTCCTTGATGATACCCTTCCTGACAAACGGGCTTTTAAATTCTAATACTATCTACCAGGGGCTGACATTTAGCAGAGTGTGGGGCACCGGGGTCAGAAAGATCTGGATCTGAAGCATGCACTTGACATGTGTCACTGACCCTCAGAGAGTTTCCTCAGCTACACAGGACAGACAGACAGATGGATGGTGCTGGCACCTTCTCCACAGGTGGTAAGGCATGAATGAGGTGGTGTAAACAAAGGCTCAGAGCTGTGCTTCCCACTGAACAAAACATCAATAAAAACTGATTCTCGTTAGTAAAGTTTTTAGTTTAATGGTAACCAATTTTCCATATTTTAATAATCGGGTCACCCACTTGTTTTTTGGTTTAAAATGACTGTCAAAGTTCAACTTTCTTTGTGGAATCTTGATGTTGAAAAGAAAAGACTACCACCCACGAGGCTGAACCACTTACCGTGCCTCGGTTTTCTCTCCCGTAAAACGGCGGCAGTGGTCCCTCCCTCGCAGCCTGTCGGGAGAGTGCGCTTGTTCATGAAGAGCGCTTAGACCTGTGCAGTGCTCCTGGAGTGGTCTCAGCAGGTGTTAGTAGCTACAGAAAGTTTCTGTATGAATGTGGGCATCTGAAGCAGCTGACAGCGGGATCCGCTGCGGTTTAGATGCTCAACTCAAGTTCTGTATAGAGCTCCATCTAATGCAGCCGGGCTTTTTGTGTTTGTTGTGGTTCTAGCACTCGGCCTTCTATGGCGTGTCCCCCCCCTGCTGCTGGAGCCAGCTTTGCTGTCCAGCCTGTGCCTGGAACTGGCCCCGCCGTGACCCTGCCATTTCCCTCCACGGCCACCCAGCCACCCAGGCCCGGAGGCCCAGCAGGGTATGACGGGCACCAGCCCCACTCCAACCAGGACTGCGATTGTGACAGTGGACCCCCGGAGCCCGCCCCCACACCCACCACTGCTCCCTCCTACCAGGTATCAGCTCACCTTTCTCTGACCAGCACCTGTCCTCCTTGAAAACATGGATGGTACTGAGTGGAACAGTGCTGTGGGCAGCCCGTACTGGCAGACAGTCCAGGACACGCCTTTGGCCTCCTCATGCTCCTGTCCCCGTCTGTAGAGGTGACTGAGGATGGGCTTGTCCTTGTTGGGCTTTTCCGGTGTAGATGATGGGCTTTTCCTCCCCTCGGAGCACTGGGCCACACATCTGACCACTGCGTTTTGACTCGGTATTGCCAAGGCACCCCGGGCTGCATATGGTCCACCCCACACCCCTCTAGCCTCTGCCACCCACAGGTTGTCGCTGCTTGGGTCAGTACATAGCATCACAGGCCACCTGATTAGCCGAGCCTCATAGTTTGGCTCTGTTCCCTTCCTCCCTCCTTCTCTTGCTGTTGCTTCTCCCACCATACCCACCTCCACACGCTTCTGCCCCCTCCCAGGGCTCTTGGCCTCTGTGCTTTCGTCCTTGCCTCCATGTAGTCCCCAATCCCCCAACAGCCCGAATCCCACTGTGAACCAAAATCCAGACATGTTCTCTGCTGCCCTTGGCGCAGAACCCAGACCCTTGAGAGAGCCCTGCCCGTGTGTGGGGCAAGTGAGGACACACCTCACCCTTTCTCCCTGCTCTCTGTGTCTCTCCCATGGAAACCCTCTCGCAGGACAGTTATGGCTATGGACCTTTGACGGCCACCAACAGCTATGAGAACGAGCAGTATCACCCACCTGCTGTGGGCCAGCCTCAGCTCCCTGCCATGGCCACGCTCTGCCAGCCAGGTGGGTCTCTGCAGGGTCAGGGGGTGGGAGCAAGGGCACGGGAGTCACCACATTAAAGTCACATTTAAACATTCCAGATTCATAGGAAAGTCTGGAGTAATGTGTTAGGGCTATCTTTTCAACTAGAGGCCTGTGTGTGTGTGTGTGTGTGTGTGTGTGTGAGAGAGAGAGAGAGAGAGAGAGAGAGAGAGAGAAGGAAAGATTGAGAGAGAACTAAAAATGGAGCGGAAAGTATTTTCCAAGGGCTTTCCCAGGGTGGAAGAGGGTAGGTTCTGCTGAGGACTTAGAAGTGGGAAAGACAAAGACACTGAACACACACCCCTCTTACACCATGACTCGGAGGAAGAATCTGGAAAGGAGTGGTGGGCACAGGTCACACGTGAATCCCGGCTGGGATCAGAGCTCGGGACCGGAGGCCCAGGGCTCCAGCCTCCAGCTGAGGCTTAGACATCCAGGGGATCCATGGCCCGTTGGGCCTAGGGCTCATCCACAAGTGGGGGCCTGTGTTTGCTCTGGCAGCTGGGGCGGCTGTTGGGTCATAGGGAGGTGGCTCTCGCTCTATGCTCCCTGGGGGTGAGAGTGAAGTGTGGCTCAGAGGGTCTCTGCTTGCTCTCCAGGAACCAAAGGAGCTAACTGTCAGCCTAGTGGTGGGTACAGCCAAGTGCAGCCCCCACAACAGGTGCCCACTACTAGGGAGGCACAGCCGGCTAGCATCCCAACCTCCAGTTACACCTACCCCCCAGCATCCCGCATCCAGCCCGGGGTCTTCATGTCCACTCTGCCTTCCTACACTTCATCCTCAGCTTCCTACAGCTTCACCTCCACCCTGTACACAGGTGAGCCGGTGGTATTCCTGAGCATGAATGTGGGCGAAGCCTGTTACTCTATTTGCAGCCAAAATAAACATTGTCCTCGAAACCAACCCATTTCCCTCTTATTCTTCTCTCTGCT